GAAGAGCTTTTTCAGAAAATTAAGGATAGTCTCCTCATCTACTTTTGTTCTCTGTTGCTGGACCGTCTTTGATTCTTTTATAACGTAGTTGAAATACATGTGGTTTGTTTTATTCTTTTTGTATCGCTGAGTAACTGGAAATAATAAGCAGAAAGGTAGGCTGGTTTTTGTTTTGTTTTGTTTTGAAGTCACTAGGGGGAACTGTCGCACTTTCTATAGGTTTTTGAACGCGTTAGCTGTTCGTTTTCACTTGCTGTTAAATATTTGTGTCAGTTCTTCAAACAGTTGATGGCCTCAGTGTTGAAACCACTTCTATAGCTTTTCCTGGCATATAAGCAGACATAATGCACTAATACGGATCCAGCTCCCCTTTATTTATCATGTTTTTAAAGGCATAAGAAAGCCGCCTTTTATCTTGTGCTAGCCTTCTCTGAAGCGTCTCTTTAGTTAGAAACAGGTAAGCCCTGCTGGGAAGTGACAGAGAGGGAGCAGGGCTCCCAGAGGGCCGGGAAGAGTTGACGGTAGGACCCTGAGGGGTGTAGAGGCAGCCAGACTCCGGGGTCTGGCTTTGTGCCATGTTGGCACAGATCTGTATCTTGAATGCTGGAGGAAGAGTGTAGAGGAGGAAAAGCTGATCTCTAGCTGCGGGACCCCTGAGCTAGATGTCTATGGAGGTGGGAACAAGGTTGGACAGGAATCTGTTGAATGCCAGGTTGTGGAAGAAAGAGCTGGGGACCCTGGCACCTGAGACAGAAAACAATGGTGTGGAAAGCCCTCTGTGAGTACTTGATAGAGGGACTTGGCTGAAGTTAGTTACTCACAAGTTTGGCTTGAGCCAACTCAAGTCAAGTCAAACTGGAAGGACTGAAGTGACAAATATGAAATAAGGTCTGAAAATAAGTGTAGTAAAGACTGAGAGAGAATGAGGTCTTTGCTTTTCTTTTTTACTGAATGGTGTGTCAAATAATCCTTTGAGTCTATTCTTTCAACCAATTCATAAAACCCCTGCCAGCAGGCCAAGGTTAAAGGATAGGGAGCTGGTAAATTAGCATGGGACCACATCTCTGGGTGCAGACTTTCTTAAGCAAGTCCTCAGAGTGTAATATTTTAGCTGGATACGACAGGCTTTTTGTAAAGCATCTTAGACCAGCTTATTCATGTCCTTTTCTTTGTCCTCGCCACTGCATCGTCTCTCCTGAATGATATTTTAGAAAAAGAAAGTTACTCTTCACCAAAAATAAATCTTTATCTGTTTCCCACTTGACCTAAGATCCGTTACTGTTCACAGCCATACAGCAACATACCAACAGTAAGTCTTTTCTCCCTTGGTTTTAACAGTAGCTGAGCACAGTGTGTTGTCTTGTGGCTTGTACAATTTTCAATGGTTATTTTAGTTCCTCTTAAAGCTCCTAAGAGTCTTCTGACTGGATGTGGTATACTGGTGTTTTCAGTAATTTTACCCCTGTAACTTACAGTCTTTCTGAAAATGAAGTGTGCTATAAAACTGGTGCCTTATTTTCTTACTTTATTATTAGCCAGCCAGGGAAAAAAGGCTTTGAGTTCATTTGCTACTACTTTCGTACTGTGGATCTGAGGGCCACAAACTCTGGGTAGCAGAAAACTCATTTGAAGTCTTTTTCAGAGTGAATCCTGAAAAAGGTTCAAGGCCTGAACCTTAGTTTAAGCAGTATAAGTGGCACCTTAGTCAAGTGGTTAGAGGATTTTCAGGAAAATTACGCATATATAAATGGAGGAAGTTGTGTAGATGTTTAAGTATTGGAAACTCTAAATAGGGAAATAGATAATGATTTTTATTTCCAATGGCTGATACTTCAATTTTGTGTAGCCATATCCTTAGTGTATTTCAGAAATAAAGTTAGACAGACTAGCAAGTACGTAGAAAAGTACTAGAAAGCTTCAAGTTTGATGAAAGTACCTACCAATGTATGTACCTTGCATTGTTTGTACACGTGACAGATAGGAATTGGTGTGTATAGATTTATGATCCTATAAATAAATAAATAAATAAATGTATATCCGTGTGAAGGATAGGATTGTATATGCCCAGTGGGAAGGGGATGATGGCTATGACATCTATGATAGAGGGTAGGCTCCATGACATTGCAAGAGCATTTCTGGCATGAGGGACAGATGTCAATGCCTGTATGAAATGACTCTCTTGTCTTGGATGACCAACGTTCAGTGATATGTGCCACATGCTTTATTTTATTGTGAGTGTAATAGACTAACAGCTACATCATGGATATTTTAGGCATATGGTTTTTACGAGTAATAGTATCAGAAGACCTACAGAGTAAATCAGAAATATTGTTCTAATTTAGTTACGCGTGTGTATACGTGTATGACATGACTGATCCTTTCTGTCTGCAGATATGGATCGTTCTGTGACAACACAAGATATGTCACTTTGCTTGCACAAGGTGATGGCTGCCTTTTGAACCACTGATGTTCTAGAATCAGTCTGGTTATTTCTTCCTCTTTTGGTCTATCGGGCTTACTAGACTTGGAGTACAGGTGTTTCAAATCCTCATCCTTTTGAAATGTTACAAAGGGCAAAATGACACTATTTTCTTCTCCTTCAAAGCAGAACATTCAGTATATACCTTTGCCAGCAGGCCTAGCAGCTTAAACAGCGTATTCCTAGACTGAGAATCCTTGCACTGTATGGATGAATCCAACTACGTCAATGACCTTTAGAAATAACTGTTGTGTAATAGTGCACGTTTTTTATTTTTCTAATGCTCTTTGAGACAGAGGATGTATCTTTTTTTAAATTATTTTTATTTTAGGGCAATGAGGTCTTCATCTTTCACTTCAGTGCATAAAAGCTTCTTGAGCTATTAAGTCTTACTGAGTTTGTAAGAGGCGTATGTGTAGCATCATCTGTCTTCATCTTTCTAAACTGTTACCATCAAGTGTCCAGACAGTGGATTCCCCCCACACTTAGGGGTGAAATTTTGAACACTGCTGGAACCCAGTTATGAACTCAGTTTTGAAGAGGAAAGTTGAGATGAAATTTCGCTTCCACCTCTCTTTGTGGAAGGTCAAATCTACATCTTCCACCTACTTTGAAAGTCTCTTTTAAACTACTTTACTTGAAGTATTAACTTTAATTTAAACTACTTGAATTTAAACTACTTGAAACTGCATGGAAGGGGGTACTCTGCACCTCTCTTGTTGAAACTGTGCTATTGTAAGCCAAGATTTATTGGGCAAGACAGCAATAAGGTGATGCTAGTTCATATACTCACCTGTGCAATTTCTGGTTCTTGTTTTTTGGATAGTCTCTGTGCTAAACACTCATTGAATAAAATACGGGTAGATGGAAGACAGATATGTAATCTGACCCATTCCCTCTTCCAGGTGAGCATCCTAAATCTAAATTGTATGCTTTTGCTCATATTCTTTTGCAAGCGGATTTTGTCGTCTTTTCCATGTGCTGGCAGTGCTTGGATGCAAAGGATGGAGAATGCCTCCGCCTTTGCTCCTTCCCTGCTCCCCATATATTGCTGTGAAACACTGACCTCCACATGCTCTGGGGAGAGGGGGATGCCTGTGCTTCTTGGCATTCTTTGTTCTCTCTGGTATGCCTTGGTCCTCTCCTATGCATACGTGCCTATCTTGTGCTTAAGCCCACAAGATTCAAAAACAGATGTTTCTTTTCCTGTGGAGTCCAGTCTGACAGATGTTCCCTGCTGTGGTTGAAAATTAACTATATTTATTTCCCAAGTGTATTTCACAGTCGCTTTATTCCATGTCGCTTTATGAAGCAGGGCAGTAAGAAATTTTATTTAAAGGAGAGTCTTTTTAAACTTTGACTGAATAATAGGTTCAAAAACGTTGGGAATGAAGAGAATGAATAGTTCTTTGGAGTAGTTCTTCTGAAGATAGAAGCGACCTCCTGTCAGAGATACAGTTCCTTTTTATCACTAATTTAGTAAGTACTTTAAAGCTTGAAAGGTAGGCTAGCCTTCTGGCTTAATGTTAGACCAAGACTGAAGAGAATCTAATCATCCTAACTGTTTTACAGACTTCCTGAGTGGCCTTGAGCCAGATTACTCTGTGCCTCGGTTTTCTATCAGTAATGTTTCTTTCCTCCTCTTCCCTGCCTTATCTGTTTAGACTGTAACATCTTCACGAGAGGGAGCTCCTCTCAGTATATGTTAAGTGGCGCAATAGAGTCCGGATCAGCTAAGTGCTGCTTTACTGCTACTAATAAGTAATCACAATCATTAGGCAATAGCAGTACATTTTGAATTTGAGTTTCTTCAAAAGAGCACTGATTTCTGTGAGCTCCTGAGAACTCAACAGTAAATTCTGAATAAAGCCATAGTGGTACCAGTCTGGCAGACATCAACTGGCTGCATTCTTTTCACGTACTTTTAGAACTTAAAAACAAGGAATGAAACTTATAAAAAGTAA